TGAGAGTGTAGGTATCTGAAGGGGGATTTAGGCACCTAGTTCTTGGAAATCAAATTTGAACGTTTCAGCTCTATTAGTTTCAGAGGCATTTAAATCGCAATTACCAGGCACCGTTGCTTCCTACCGACTTCAGTAGGATGCTGGGCGCCAGTTAAAGCTAGGCCCCAAGTTTGCTAAGTGCCCCAAAACAAGGAGTAGGAATCTAAACTTAAATCCAGAGGTCTGAAAATACCTAAGTTTCACAGTATGGTGGAACAGTAAACATTTGTTGCAATAGTGGAATCCATCTTGGGTTTTCTTTGTTAAATTTTTATCACAATATTTTGCCGTAAGTTATAGCATGTGAGACTTTCTATAAAAAAGTAGAACAGCTCTTTTCTTGAAAAAGGCAAGGGGGGGGGGAGCGTGAGTCATAGCATGCAGGTAATATCAAATCACTCAGTAGATCACCTGATACACCTCTATAGTGTGCTCTCCAATATAGAAAAAAATCAGTTGCATCCACTAGACTTGAATCACCGGTGTGCATTTGTACTAACTTTTCAAATTCATGACCTCAGAGTAAAGACAGCTCCACAGAGAGGACTGGACACACAGAAGAGAATAACTCTGTGTTCTTTCCATGCATAAAAATCAAAAAATAAGCATGGCAAGTTAACCGTATGCCAGTGCAGTGGGAGAAGCTCTTATGACCAACTTAGCTTTAATGCCTAGGCTCTAATTATGCACTTAAAGATACCAATGCCTCCAATTAATGCTTCATATGCACGCTAATATTTTGAATGCGGTATGTAAGGATATCTTGCTGCAGGACACTGAAGAATAATCAGAAGTAGTCACTCTTTTGGTATAACATAATTACACATCAAGCATTTACTTAGCTTTTCCAATATCCTGTCATTGCTTGTTCAGACTTTACAAAGTGAGCAAATCATACCTGCCGTGATGGAATGGATACGGAATGAGTAGGAATCAAAGGCCATTTTCATAAAAATCTCTAGAAAGCATGGCTCCTGTTAGGAGCGCTCGCTGTACAGCTCCGTCTTTCCACCAAACTCGGCTTTCGCCACTGCTGCTTAAACACATGTAATGAATTTGAGATCCTGCAGATGTATAGCTGTGAGCACAGCTGACCTCCACGTGCGTCTCTGCAAGGAACACAATATTCACACATCCTTCTCCATACATCTCTCTTGATCACACATGCAATGACGCTTGCTTCCAGTGCTAATATATTTTCTCTACACTTGACATGGCGTAACCTGGGCACGCTCTGCTCGTTCCTTTGGATGACATGGGATCTGGGAACAGGAGGTAATAGATTTGTTTGCATGAATCACAACTCCTTTACATATCTGACAGTGGTGCAATGGCATGTTTCTGCCGTTAGCACTTCTGCAAAGGCTGGCCTCTTGCAGAACATAGGTTAATTCAAACAGCCTCCACCTAAGATTAAAATTCTACGAGTTTTGCCAAATTTTAAGACTGCAAGAGGACATATCAGCTTTCCTTCCCTGAACAGCCAATGCTATAAACACTTTCGGAGCAGGTCTCCTAGCAGATGCACAGATTTTATGCCCACATGATTCCGTGCGGCACTTTGCCTGCCTCTAATATTCTTTTTATTAGCTTCCTTTTTGTACTTCCGACTCAACAGCAAAGAGAAAAGCTTTGTTTTCAACAACTGTGTCCTGTGTACCAATATGCATTTATATTCTGGTAAGATGATAAGGCAGTTAACTCAATATAGTATATGCTAAAAGAATCAGGCATCTAAGGCAGAGATCGGCATCTGTAACTACAAGAGAGGAAAAATTACTTAGAGTGACGGGCAGAAGTATAACAGGAAGAAAAGAGAATTAAGAGAAGGAAACAGACTGCATACAAGGGGAAATTCCTGTCAGTCAGCACTACTAGATGGGGGAATAGATACCCAGGCGAAGAAATGTAAACCTGTTGCTCAAGAAAGCTAAAATGAAACTTCATACATCACTAAGCACCAAACTGCATTCGCAGAAGTATAGACAAGACAGCCTAAATGATAGTTCCTAGGCTTAAATGCCAGTAATTATAATATTAAAATACACAGTTTTGATCACTCCGCAGCACACGAGCGAAGGGCTTCAGGTGCAGCCCTCCTTGGCTACAACAGACTTCCTGGTTAAAACCTGCGCTCAGGTGAGAACCCATACAGCACTGTCTCCCCTAGCCCCCCACCAAAATCATCTACCTCTGAGCTGCACCCGCTGTGCCTTTTGCCCTGTAAGCTCCTTTCTGCTTTTGACTAAACCTCCCTTTCTTCTCTGGCTTGCAGCACAGGCACCAGCACATCTAACGTGGCTCCACTACCTCTCCCATCTTCTGTCGCACCCATTGTTGCTCCTAGCCTACCACAAAAAGCAGACAGCTGAATCTCTGACCCCAAAAACACAGCACTGGGGTCCTGCCCCTCCTGCCTGTCACTAGGCTGGCTCAGGTCCTGGAGAGCCACCTTTATTATTAATTATTATGAACCTCTGTCTCTCTCTCAAAGCCCCCTAAGATGGCCACCATGCCACAGTCTACAAAGAGCCCACAGCATGGAGGAGGCAGGCGCTGTTGAAACACCTCACAGTAGGATTGGCTAGCGCTGTAAACCCTCAGTACCGCTGGGTGGGCACTTCTGTTTCCTGGCAAGGTGAGGTATGCCGGGTGCGCAGTTCCCGGTGTGGTTCCCTCCAGCTCCCCCATATACCTGGCAACCCCCCCGGACATCTGGGGAGGCGAACAGTGTCGCCTGCCCAGCCGTCCCTGCCACAGGCAGCAGCATCCATGTCCGTTGTGTGTCTTTAACAAGCATATGGGTTGCTCCTTGCACTGTTACATAGCTGAGCGTGGAAAGATGAAGTCTGCTTGTATCAGTAGATACCAGCTGCTGAATTTTTGCTACATTAAGTAGGGTTGATCATTGGAAATATTTTCAGCACTACATAGCTTGCAAGTTATATCTACTTTTGGTTGCAAAGCTGTATTAATAACATTTCCCGGCTGACTTGGATTTAATACTATTTGCATTACACTGTATCTGCATTGAGCCAAACTGGATTTCAGTAGAATTGTATGGTCACTAAAATAAAAAAATTGCGTAGCTCTCATAAGGCACAGTTTATAGCTTCCTAGAACTATTGGAGAAGCCAAGGTCAGTCTCCCATCTTCCAAAGGCCTAGAGGCAACATTCTCACAAGGGTATTTTGGTGTTGCTTCATTAGTTTCGTTGCTTGCTGTGCAGTAGGTTTATTCCATAAAGGCTGGAAGGTTAAACTTCTTACCAGGTATAACCATCTGTGCCTGCAGTCTCAGCCACCAAACTTGTCACATATTTCCCCACTATAATTGTTATACCTGTTTGAGAACTTCCTTCAATCTTATCTACTCAGCCATTTGTTCAAACTACTCAAGGCTGCAATGTACTGCTTATGCTTTGCAGAAAAGTTGATTTCAGGACACTTCATTATAATCTGTTCTTGGCTCAGCATACTGAGAGTAAAGAGCAAAATTCTCCTCCTTAGCTGTAGAACCACTGAAAATAAAGAAGCCCATATTTGCTCACGCAAAAATATAAAACATCTAGTAAAGCATCTAGACTTCATATTTTCTGTGTACCAAGGCAATTGCCTTAAAAACAGTTTCTATTGCTGGGTACTGCAGCTCCCGGAGCAGCTTTTTTCTCTGAGCTCCATGTGAGCTTTCTCAAAATCCTAGAGCAGAGATAGTCAGCAAGTACAGGTTAAGTAGAAAAACTGGCTGCATAAGAAGTTCTTCGTCTTAAGTCCAAGAAGGACTACTTACAAGTCCGAGTTCCTTACAGTTTTTTGCTTCAGCTTAAGTTCTGATCATATTGTCATCATATTGTATCACATCGTATAGTAACAAAGGCCAATCGGCATTAAACATCTAGAATACAATGGAGCATATTCCAGCACAGGAACGTTAGGACTGAATTTGAACTTCCCCTTTCAAGAACAATGAAACCAAGAACAAGCAGTTTCCCAGAAACCACAACTGTAAGTTACTCCATGTAGAGATGACCACTTCTGTGCAAATGCTAGTGTCAGTCACTGCAAGCCAATCTAGAGGAAATGTAATTGTGACACTGAATATTTTTAGTGTCTATAGAGGAAATGAATAGTTTAGCTTTCTTACTCTCTGGAGAAGGGATTAAGTACTGTGCTATTAGAGCACAAATATAGATTGTGCACAGAAATGGGAAGTCCATTGCTGGGAATGGTATTTTCCCTTTTAACATAAGGCAAGAACTATCCAGCCTATTAACTTTCCATGACAGGATCTCTAAAAAAAGGCCACACAAGTCTTAAAGTGTTTTGAACCTAATTTGAAGTTGTCATGCAATTAAGTTTCACGAAATTGCTTTCTGGAGTGACAGCTTTTATTGTTACAACATATGGCAATCAGACAGCAGCTTGTGGCAGATGTGATGTTTATTCAGTATTAGCTAGTTTTAGATTAACTATGTCATTCTAATCAAAGGAAACGGTAGATGTTTTTGACATCTTTGGGTTCTGCAGACCCACATCATGTTTAAGCTGCTTTTGTCAAATGGCAACACTGCAGCTCTGAACAAGCCTTAGTAAGTCATATTTAGCAACTAATCATGTTATTTACTGGAGGTCTGTATTCCAAGAAAAAAAATCCATGTTTCTAACATGGATTGTGTTCCTTCAGCAGACTACAGAGACCACCTATTACAATAACTGAGCTCATTAAGTATGCCAGTCCTTAGTCTTGCAAGCTGTTGCGATAAGCAGCTGTTGCAAGAGAGTAAAAGGTTGAATTATCAACTTGGAAAGCATAGCTCTTCATTGAGTTGGCCCAGGAGAGAAAGTATGTGAGTAATAACACCATTATTATGGAATATACCTTGGAACACAGCACATGAGTGAGACATCACTGGTATTTTAGCAACATGTTTCCCCACCCAGTAAGCAAGACACTCCCAGAAATTAATTGTCAAAAATTTATTATGAAAGCTTCAATAGCAGCAATTCCAGTAAAAATTATTGCATTATTAAACCAGTTCTGCAGAGTGGCCCAGGGGCCTGTTGAAGTCTGTCTGCTTAAAAGTCTCTTGTATATTTGTCTCAGTAACCAGTCTCTAGTAGTCCATCAAATATTGAAACCTTCTTTTCTTCATGTTTTGTAGACAGCACCAACAGTTCCTAGTTACAGTATTCTGTCCAGTCCTTCCATAAGTTTTGGCCCACTTCCCCCAACCTTCTCTGCCTTCTGAAACAGCTCCACTTGACTGGGAAACTTGCAATACTTCTTTCAGTTCCATGGTATGTCAACGTCTCCACTGCTGCAGCCTACCAGGGCTCACTGCTGGAGCGAGCTGGTCTTTTCCTTTCTTCTCCATAAGAGCCCACTGCGTGCCAGTCTGAGCGACTTTAATCCAGTCTCTTGACCAGGCTAATCCATGGAATCAGCAGCTTGTTGCACACTTCGGTGAACCAACACCACATTGAGAATGCAACAAAGATTTCAGCCTCCCCAGTGCACTGGGTCACCATCACTCAGGCAGGGTGATAGTTGGCACCCAGTCATTGACATTTCGGCTCTCTTCACAAAAGAAGTTCAGCTTTTCTAGAGCTGGGTCCTTCCAGCCATCTTCATTTGGGTTCTGCCAGAGGAAGAAAGTTGCACACCATAAGTACAGCCTGCCAGCTGAAGTCATCACAGTATTTACAGAAGCATTAGCATAGGCAGCAAAGTATTTAACCGGCTTCTCTGTCCTGTTATGGACAATGCAGGAAATAGATGTCACCCGTGTGAGCAACAGGGGAGGTCCACAGTTACAAGAAACACAGCCTGACACTACTCAACTAGTTTGCTCTGCAGCATGTCCCAAGTCCCCTTTCCTTGCCTATGAGGGTATTTAGCTATGTGCAGTAAGTCAAACCCACCCCAACCCCCAAAAAGCTCTGCCTGCCCTCAGCAAAGAGGCTAGCAGAGCCAGCACAGCCCCAGGAGCAACATACAGAGCACTGCCTGCCTCCGGGGGACACCCACCGTGATGAGGATGCAGTGGAGATCCCGCGGCTCCCCAGACTCCTCGCTGGGCCCCACGATGGCCGCCAGCTTGGGCACATCGTTCACCCGCACGATGTCAATGTCGTTCTCGCAGCAGAAGGCCTGGATGAGGGTGAAGTGGATCTGCAAGGCGATGTCGCCTTCGTCCTCCTCATCGGTGGCCAGCAAGCACAGCACCACACTGTCGGGGTCCCTGCAGATGGCCGTAGTGTTAGGGGGGCCGGGACAGCACAGATGCAGGTACTGTGCATGTCCCATGACACGGTGGGGGGTGTGATGTCACCCCATGTCACCCAGGCTACTGACCCCAGCCCATGGGCAAGAGGCTTCAGAGTGACTCTTGCATGGTCTTTGGGTTTGGGCAGACTCCCCCCCCTGCCCCCCAAGACAGACCCCCAACACTGGGGCGGCCCCCATGCAGCCTCCCTGCTCCAGAC